TGTTTTCCCCATTTATATGGTTCAAGATGGCCAACACCACATCCGTATCTCAACCAGCACTAGAGGGAAATGCATAGAATGCCCTTTCATTTACGGGCACAATCCAGAAGAGGCACGAGTCCCTTCTGCTCACATCCCATCGAACAGGTCTTAGTCCTACAACTACATCATTTACAGAGAAGACTGGAAAATGAACGCTTCATTCTGGGAGAGCAGTGCTCACAGTTAAAAATTGGGGATTCTATTACTTTTTAGAAGTGGAGAACAGATATGGAGAGATATCTAGCCAGTCTCTGTCATAGGAGATAAGAGAGGATACAAGATGTCACAGAGAATGCCAGCCAAACAAGTGGAGTAGATTGTGATATCGACCTTGAACCTCCCCTCTGCCCCTTCATCAAGTTAGGCTATAGATAGCACTGAATTTTATTTATTTCCTCAATTTCACCAGAGAACAAACTTTAATCTTCTGGGGATTGGGAGTGGAAATGATAAGCAGTAACAGCTGCTCAGATATGCTGGACAGAGCTGGAGACACTAACTGCTCTGATTATAGATTTTCATGTTTTTCAGTTTATTTGAAGAATATAATACACGTACAGTGTAACAAATCAAACAATACAAATATATGGAGAAAGTGAATTCCCCTTCCTCCATATTCCAAAGTAGCAAATATAAATAGCCCAATATCTATTCTTTCATATAATTATCCTGCCTCTATGTAATTATGTAAAAATCATACAAAGATCACTCACATTTAATACAATTTATTAATATGATTGGGTTTAAATCTCTCATCTTGCTATTTGTTTTCTATTTGTCCCATTTGTTCTTTGTTCTCCTTTTCATCTTTTCCTGACTTCTTTTGGATTAATTGATTGGTTTTTTGTGATTCTTTTTTCAGTCCTTTTTGGGTGCTACAATAGAATACCGTAGACTGGCTGGCTTATAAACAACAGAAATTTCTCACAGTTCTGGAGGCTGGGGAGTCCAAGGTCAAGGCACCAGCAGATTCATGTCTGGTAAGAGCCTGCTTCCTGGTTCTTAGATGCAGGTCTTTCCACTGTGTTCTAACGTGGTAGAAGTGGGCAGGGAGCTCTCTGGGGGCTCTTGTATAAGACACTAATCCCATTCATGAGGGCTCTCTCTTCCTTCTTACCACCTCCCAAAGGCCCCACTTCCTAATACCATCCCATTGGGGGTTAGGTTGCAACATACGAATTTTGGGGGGAAAACAAACATTCAATCTATAACAATTTTAGTTTATCTCCTTTGTTGTCTTATTAGCTGTATCTCTGTTGTTTTTAATTTTAGTAGTTGCTTTAGATTCATAGTATCCATTTTAACTTGTAATCTATCTTAGAGTGATATTATACGACACCATATATAGCCCTTTCTGATGCTCTGTCCTGAGAACGTTAACTCGTTTGGTTTCCCTGGACTCTCAGGTCCAGCTCCTTAACTCAGGGAGTCCATTGGACATCGCCTGGGTTACCCTTTTTGTGCCTAAGCCAGAAAACTCTTCGAAGGCTATAAGCTGGGACAATCATGAGGTTCCTTCATATATTTCCCCGCTCTCACCAATCACTGTTCATTTCCTGACGTTCAATGTCCCACAAGTAATTGTTTCATATATTTTTTCTGGTTTTGGTTTTTTTTTTTCAGTAGGAAGGGTAATTCTGATTCCTGTTATTCTGTCTTCACTAGAAACAAAAGTTCATCTTCATTTTTGAAAGATATTTTCACTGGGAATACAATTATAGGTCTACAGGAGTTTTTCTTTTTTTTCTTTCATCACTTAAAAAAAAGGTCATTCCAGGGCTCGCCGAGTGGCGTGTTGGTTAGGAGTTGGCTTGGGACGCCAGCTCTGAGCAGCAGGGCCCTGGTTCGGATCCCATATGAGGGCCAGTGACGCTGTGCCCTCTACAGCTAAGATGGTGAACAATGGCTTCACCTGGAGCTGGGCTGCCGTGGGTCGCCGGCAATGGCATAGGCTACAGTGGAGCTGGCAAGTAGTTGGCGTGAGCTTTCATGCGCTGCCATGTGCCGCAGTGAGCGACCGTCCAGTGGCCAGTGAGCAACTGCCTCACCCGGGAAGAGCGCAATGATCACAATACCAACATAGGCCAGTGAAGCCACATCCTCCACAACTAGACTGAAGAACAAAAGGACAGCAACTTGTCTGTTTGTCTTCTCCGATTCCCTAACGCTGTTCTCCTCCCTCAATTCCCCAATTAAAAAAAAAAAAGGATACAAAAAGGTGCTCAACTTCAGTAACGATCAAGGAAATGCAAACTACAAGTCACCTGATTGGCACTGGCAACACCAAGGAAGAGGAAGGCTGTAAAAACCACTGCAACATTCATTTCTGGTAAGAGTGGAAATTAATACAACTACACAGAGCAACATTTTGATATTCTCTGGTAAAGGCGGACATGCAAATACCCTATGCCTCAGCAATTCCACCTTTAGGCATAACCTGTTGAGCAGGGTTTCTCAACCTCAGCACTATTGACATTTGGGCCAGATAGTTGTTGTAGAGGGGCTGTGCTGTGCATTGTGGGATGTTGAGCATCATCCAGATGCTAGTAGCACCCTCAACAGTTGTGACTACCAAAAGTTTCTCCAGACTTGACCAAATGATCCCCAGAGGAGATGGGAGAGGCAAAATTGCCCCAACTTGAGAACCACTGGCTTAATCCAATTGAGTAGTTTAGGCAAGTTGGACAAGGAGTTACAGCCTCATCAGAGTAGACATTTAGGTAACAAGCAACATGAATCCAAAGCATGTGGCTTGTGAGATAGAATGTGCTTTCCTTCTCACATAGCTGAAGCCTGGGCCATCTTCAGTGGGAACTGATGGGGTTTCCGCAGCACCTCCATTTGGAGAGCAGGACTTGGAACCCCTAAAGCAACTATAAAACAGGGCTTGTCACTCATTCTTGTGAGAAATACTGCCCTGGAAAGCAGCTCCAGATTGCAGGTTCAGCCTCAAATCTCTTTCCAAAGATGGGAATTCACCCAGATGGTAAGGTAGCTCCATACTTCCTGGAGACAATAACAATTTAACAAGCAGCCAGTGACAGCACAGTTAAAATATCATGATGCCAACACTATAAAAAGTCTCAGACTTCAATAATATGAACCCCTGCTATCATCAAGTTTCAACTGAGGAATCAATGTCCCATAACGAAATCTCCTCTTCTAGAAAAATTTAAATAACTAAATCTCTTACCCCTCACTTTAAAAAATTCTGCGTAGCCTCACCTCTGTGGCTCTCGGGTGCCTAAGAGGACTCTGCCTTCCATCTTCTACATCCTGCTCTGTCTTCCGTTAAAACTAATGTTTCCTTTGGCATCTCCAGAGGTGGATTCATTCTCCCCAAGGCTATTGTGTTCTCACTTATCCAAAATACCAACTAGTCAACTATATATCAAAAAATACACAGCAGATGTAAGGAGCTTAGAAGTTGCCACTCTATCCACACAACAAGCTGAAAGTTGAACGAACTGAAAAATCAACAACTCTTCTTAGAACCATCAGAGAAGTCAGGTCACAGGGCAAGCCGCTGCCCCCCCCCACCTCGAATTGGAGAGACAAACAGGCAGATTCAGAGAATCACAACTTACCAGAGCAGAAACATCCACATGGACCAATCTGAGGTAAGAAACTGGACTGTAATTGATTAATTGATGGAGGCCCAGTGTGGACAAGTGTGAGAGTCAGATGTGCAGGGAGAGGCCCCCACACTTCTGTGAGTTTTACCTCCTGGATCTCAACCAGAAAACAAAAATCCCCTCATGCTTCCTGCAGGGGGAGGGGAAAGTAACATTGTGAAAAACACCGAAGCATTCTGTTCTTAACAAAGTCTGCCCTCAGGAGAAACTAGTTAACCAGCGCCTAATCTGCTGGGCTTTCATCAGAGCCTAACTGACCTGGGGAAGGGAAATATCCAACTCCAGCTGGCTCTGGCCTTCCACGTGGAGGAAGGGAAATACCCAGCTCCAGCCCTCTCTTAACTATTCTGTCTCACTGAGGGCGGGCTGAGAAGCACTTGTGAGGCTCAGTCCCGAGGCACAGGCTCACTGAAAGACACAGACCTAATCACTGGGCTACAAATGCTTCCCCTTACCCCACATCTTACCCCTACATTACCACAGGTCCATTTACAGCAGTGTATTTTCTACCCAGTACAAGCTGGTCCTCGAATAACATTGTTTCATTCAAGGTCATTTAGGTATAATGTTGATGAGATGCTGTAGGAACTTAACTCTTGTTTATATAAATTAGCCTAGGTTAAAACTGGTTTCATTATAGTCATTTTGCTTGAAGTTGAAGAACCTATCGACTACATTAAGTGAGGACTTACTGTATGTACATCGCATCCACCTTTCAACAGAAAATTACAAGACATACTAAAAGGCAAAAAACACACACTGACGAGACTGAACAAGCACCAGAACAAGAGTCAGATATTGCAGGAATGTTGGAATTACCAGGCCAGGAATTGTTAAAACTATGATTGATATGCTGAGGGCTTTAATGGGAAAAGCAGACAACATGCAAAAACAGGTGGACAGTGTAAGGAGAGAGAGAACAGTCTAAGAAATAATTGAAAAGAAACACGAGATCAAAACCACCATAACAAAGAAAGGCTTTGATGAACTTATTAATAGACTGAACCCAAGTGAGGAAAGAACC